GAATAATGGTGGCTGCCACTGTTATTGCTGTCATTCAGTGTTTTGATAATGCTGCTGGGCAGGAGCCAGCGAGAGTGCCATGCTCACTAGCTCCTGTCTTGCCTGGGGCTTGTTATTCATTTGGCTTTCCTGAGGGCCAGCTCTGAATTGGTTTAGGTTTGATCTGGTTTATTATAAGGTAGGCCCGCTTGTTCAGGACTTGAAACTTGGCCCTGGTGTTACTCAAAAAAACAGGAAAACTGACACTGGCCCAAAGCACAGTTTATTCCCTGAGTTTACCAGCCTAATGAGTATTTCCTGGGTCTCTCCCTCCCTGTTTCCTTGGACAGTAGCCTATTCCAGGTGTCAATTCCTCATTAAAGATGGCGCCTGCTATCATCTCAAGCTCTCAAGAGAATGGACCACATGAGCTATTTATGTGTGCCTTACACCTGACCAGTCGGCACAAATTTCTGGGTTGGTTCATCCCTGTTTGTGAAGCATCTGTGCATTCAGTCGTTGTTTGGTGCTGGAGCCCAAGATGCTCTGGGCTGAAAGGTTTCTCCTGTTTTGGCAGATTCCAAGCTACTCCCTCTTTCTCCTTCCCCATGTGCAGGCCAGGCTACCAACGTCTTTGTAAACATGGAGGAGGACTTCATGAAGCCAGTCATTAGCATTGTGGACAAGTTGCTGAAGGCAGGGATCAACGTGACCGTGTATAATGGACAGCTTGATCTCATCGTAGATACCATGGGTAGGAATTGACTCTGAGGGGCACATAGAGGCAGTTTTATGGGTTCAACTGGAAGGGAACTGGCCTTGGACATGTCAGTCTTGGGGTGGATGATGTTGACATGCCAGGAGGAAGGCCATTTCCCATTACATTCATCTACCCCTGACCTTGATTATTCAAAGAGTGGGGAGCTGCATGTGGCTGTGACCCCTCAGAAGCCTGGGCGTATCCGGGTTTGGGGGCCCTTGGGTATGATTAAAGAAAAGAACAGCACCTGTCTCTACCACAAAACTTAGACATTTTCCTGGTTATTGGGCAAGTACACTATTTAATTAAGGGAGAGCCTCATTTTTGTGCGACATCACAGTCAATGTTGACCACTGCAGAGTGAATTAAAACTAAACCCTAATGACCGTAACCCTGAAGACCCAGGGGAAATGGTCTTTGTGGAATCCCGACTGCTGCCCTATCACCTACCACCTATTTAATTTGCTCACTTCCAAATTAAATAGGGCCTGGTGGAGGCTCAGAGACAGGTTCCCTGACCTGGCAGGCTAATTGAGGCACAAGGTCTGACAGATGTGATGCGCCTCGTCAAACCAGAAGGGTTGAATATTTTTGTGACTGGTAAGCAAGGGACACCAAGGACAATTTGGAAAGCTGCTGCATTGCTCCATGAACAGCCCAGGTGATCCTCATCACTGTCTCATTCCTGACATCTCTCAGTCCTCCTCACGGGCCTGTCTGCCTCCAGAGGTCCCCAGTTCCCTTCCTAAAGAGCAGATGGCAGGGAGAGATACAGAGGCAAAAGCAGTCAGGCTTTGCAGCTGTTAGGTTTCTCCCAGCAGCCTAGGTGTCACTGGGAGTCAGAAATGCAGATGCTTAGGCCCTACCCTGATCTTCTGAATCCGAATTTGCATTTTAACAAGATCCCGAGTGAGTTTCATGCATACTGCAGTTTGGGAAGCACCAACTTTTAGGACCTCGACTTTTTTCCTACTCTACCCAGCTGTTAATGCCAGGCCTTTCTCTTTGTCCTTCTCACCAGGTCAGGAGGCCTGGCTGCGGAAACTGAAGTGGCCAGAACTGCCTAAATTCAGTCAGCTGAAGTGGAAGGCCCTGTACAGTGACCCTAAATCTTTGGAAACGTCTGCTTTTGTTAAGTCCCACAAGAACCTGGCTTTCTACTGGATTCTGAAAGCTGGTCACATGGTAAGAGACAGCTTTTGTTCCAGACTTAAAAATCATCCTGAGAGGGAAGCCACAGGCAGTTCTATGTCTCTGTCCGCTGCCCAGGCGGGTCTTGTAAAAAGTACGAGGGCCCGAGGGCCAGGTGTGGTGGCTCACGCCTGTAATCTCAGCACTTTGGGAGACCAAGGCGGGTGGATTGCTGGAGCCCAGGAGTTTGAGACCAGCCTGGGCCACATGGAGAAACCTTGTCTCTACAAAAAATATGAAAATTAGACCAAGCACAGAGGCTCATGCCTGTAATCCCAGCACTTTGGGAGGCTGAGACGGGTGGATCGCTTGAGCTCAGGAGTTCAAGACCAGCCTTGGCAACATGGCGAAACCCTGTCTCTACAAAAATTTACCAGGTGTGGTAGCACACACCTGTAATCCCAGCTACTTGGGAGGCTGAAGCACGAGAATTGCTTGAACCCAGGAGGCAGAGGTTGCGGTGAGCCAAGATAGCACCACTGCACTGCAGCCTGGGCAACAGAGTGAGCCTCTGTCTCAAAAAAGAACAAAAATTAGCCGGGCGCAGTGGCGCATGCCCATGGTCTCAGCTGCTCAGGAGGCTGAGTGAGGTGGGAGGATTGATTGAGCCTGAAAATTAGAAGCTATAGTGAGCCAAGATCGTGCCACTCCACTCCAGCCTGACAGAGCGAGACCCTGTCTCAAAAAAAAAGAAAGCAAAAGAAAAAGAAAGAAATACTTAGGGCTTGGGAGTGTTTTGAGTTTCCTAACAAAATTCCGCTATTAGCACTAGGCACTGCGAGCACAAGGGTGAGTGGTGTCCAGTCCCTCTCCTCAAGGAGCTTGTGGTCTAGAGACAGACAGGCAAGGAGACTGTCAACAGCATGGGGTGAGCAATGCTAAGAGGGGGCTTGGCCCAGGGAAGGGTGCCCTGCCCAGGCTTGCAGATCTGGAAGATTGTGCCCCACGTGATGCGTAGGGGTGATTTAAGGAAAGAGGAGGAGGTGGGGAGCATGGAGAACAGTGAATACAAGGTCCAGAGGAGCCTCAGACGGCGAGGCCTTGGAATGGACACTGGAGGGAGGTGACTGCAGAGGGGAAGTTTTCATACCACACTAAGGAGTTCAGACAGGGCACCAAGCAGGGGTTTTAAGTAAGGGAGTGAAATTAAGAGATTTGTCCAGGCAATACCATTCTAGCAGTAGAGGGCATGGGGCAAGCCTGGGGCCAAGGACCAGTCAATGAGGCTGTCAGGTAAATCCAGAAAGGAGGAAAGTGGATGGATTTGGTAAAGTGTAAAGAAGGGAAAATTGGCAGGACTTGGTAATCATTTGGGGTGGAAAAATACTGAAGGGTGGCTTGCAGGTTTCTGCTCCAGCATCGTGGTTTGGGATGGAGGCA